CCACTGGTAGATCTTAGAATGTTGCTACTGGTCTTACCTCATCACCCTTTGTCTACAGTGGGAGGATGCATATCCGCAAACCAAAGTATCCAATTGGGCTGACTGTGAGATGCATTTTTACTACCGTGAGCCTAAACTCTAACTTGATGACGCTTCTGGGCCCCACAGCTTGTACAACGGTGCAGAATGGGGAACAGGCTGCTCTAAGACAGAATGGAAAGTGGGCATGTGGGGTGTCCATCCCAAACCACAGAAAGGTCAAAGTTCAATGGGTTGTATGGGGTCTTTGCGTGCTGGTGAGAGGGCAATTAGAGACCACAGTGCCAGGGCAGTTACAGGCTGTGGCACCTGTGGGTCAGAGGGTAGAATCTGGGCCTAACAGTCTTCAGCTGAGTTTCACCCATGCCACGTTGGCTAAGTCACCTCCTCACTCTGAATCTGGGTTCCTTCACCCACAAAATGAAGATAATTGCAGCCCCCACTTCCAAAAACGAGCATTAAATGATTAGGTGTATAAAGAGTGCTCATCACAGTACCTGGCCTAGACCAAGCACTACGTGAGGGTTTTTCATAATTGCAAATATTACCGAGACAGCGACAGGGTCCTCAAAAGACCCTGTGAGCCCCGAGGTAGCATGGGGCAGTGGGTGCCCTTGCAGTGACTGGGAGGTGGTCTGCAGGAATACTTGTGAGGTAGTTTTCACTAACATTGGCTTTGCGTTCTGCTGTCTTCAACAGTGCTCCCCAAAAGTTTTAGAATCTCAAAACTGTGCAAGAAACAGCAACAACAAAAGGCTTTACCGTGGAACACCCGTGAGAGCCTGAAATGTGGGTGCGGCGGGCACCGGCTGCATTGCCAAACTCATGCATGATCACTGCAGAGAGGATGGTTCTAAGGGGTCCCTGCTTCCCACGCCACAGTTCCGCAGCAAGGGCTATACGAGGCCCCTCCTCGAAACTGTTGATGATTTAGTATCTGACCAGGTGGCCATTATAAATTAGTGGAGGAGCCGGGCGGTGGTGGCGCACGCCTTTAATCCCAGCACTCGGGAGGCAGAGCCAGGCGGATCTCTGTGAGTTCAAGGCCAGCCTGGGCTACCAAGTGAGCTCCAGGAAAGGCGCAAAGCTACACAGAGAAACCCTGTCTCGAAAAACCAAAAAAAAAAAAAAAAAAAAAAAAAAAAAAATTAGTGGGGGAAAAGGAATTACCCAATAAGTGACTAGTTGGCTAAAGTCAATTATACAAAAATAAATTTTAAAAAATCACGTCAAGCAAAGTTAAACATTTACAAATAAGTCAGTATAAAGTTCAACAAGGAAGACCTTTGTAATCACAAATACAATGGTAAAAGTTTTCAAATGCAGTATGCATTGATTTTTGACTATATAAATGCTGAAAATCCTGTTCCTAAAACCAAAGAAAAACTTAGCCAAGCCAGACTGAGAACTTGAGTGCAAATGAATGGGTAACCATGGCTGCAGCATTGCTAAGGGATGAAGGGTGAAGATCCCTACTGCGTAGGAAGCTCTTCCGGCAGACTGATGCCTTGAAGTAAAAAGAGGTCAAGTTCAACAGTAGATAGCTAATTCATAAATGTCCACACAGATGAAAACGTCTTAGGAACAATAAAAGAAATGACTGTTAAAAATGATATAGTAGTCTCCTTTCTTTGTAGTATTAATTTATGAAGAGTATTATTAATATGCAGTATCCTTGGGGCTGAGGAAAAAAAGTATTTAAATGTCTAATAATAAGAAAATTATCAAATTAGCTGTTTTAAAGTTCAATCATTCACATTTCAGCCATATTTTTACAAGCAATATTTTGAAATATTTTGACATGGTAACTTGTTTATACTCTGGTATTATATAATCTTGTTTATATGGAAAGCAGAAAAACTCCAAACTATTTTTATTAACATGGTTATACTTTTATAAATAACATATGCTCCAAACTGTTAGCTATTGTTTATTTCAACATTAAAATGGTTTGAGTGAAGACTACCCAGTGGGTAAACCCTTGCTGAAAAACCCTGACAGCCCAATTTTGATCCGAGAAATCCACAATGAAAGGACAGAAACCAATCCCAAAAGCTGTTCTCTGACCATCACACCCACATCCCCTTATTCATATATGCACATCACACACACACACACATACACACACACACACACACACACACACACACACATCTTTTAAAATGTGTCCTCAGTGTTAGTCAAACCCACACAGGAGCTCAGAGAATTTCAGTCAGTTTCTCAAATCCTGTCACAGTCTCTCAGTCCTCAGAGGTAATATCATGCAAGAGAATTGTGGGATCTACGTTTCTAGTCTAGTCAATTGGCCCTGCCCCTGTGGCTGACAGAAGTCCTGGCTTCAAATTCAGACAGGTCACTGTCCTAACCTCTGAGGGCCACACTGACTTCAGGAAGTAGCACCTCCCCAAAATTTCTTTCTCCTATCCCTTGCCTTGTGGCCTCACATCTGTTAGGACCTATGAACCCCTTGCTTGTTCCTTAGGACTATCCCTTATCTTTTCTGTTACCGTTTAAAATGCCTGAAATAGGACTTCAGTCTTGTTTATTTGGAGTTGACGATGGAGAACCAAAGAGAGTTCAGAGTCTCAGTCGCAGGGGAAGACGGATCTAAGAGATTCTCGTGACTACACACTCTGATCCAGCTAGATCCCCGCCTTCTAGCCCACCTCCTGCTAACCCCCCTCCTTACCCTCCTGCAACATCATGCAATGGGTAGAAGTAAGGGGTCCTAAGAAGGGGTGGGGATGGATACAACCCCTCCTGGCCTATAAGTAAAATAAGTATCTAAGACACCAAATTTTTTTAAAATTGTATTTATTTATATGGGTATGGGCATTTTGTTTGCATGTATGTCTGCACCCCACATGTGTGTCTGTTTGTCCTTGGAGGCCAGAAGAGGGCATCAGATCCCCAAGACTGGAGTTAGAGACAGTTGTGAGCTGCCCTGTGGGTGCTAGGAATCGAACCTGGGTCCTTTGTAAGAACAGCCAGTGCTCTTAATCACTGAGCCGTCTCTCCGGCCACCAACACCAACATTTTAATGCTGATTACCTTTGCATATATATTTTCTTTTTATCTGGATTTTGATAATTTTTAAATGAAAAAGTAAAATAATGTAAAATGACAGGTCAATAAAATCAAAATGTCCATGAATAGGACTCAGACATCAGTTGTTTGTTTATTTTTTGTTTTGTTTTTGTTGCAAATCTCCAAGGCAATCCTAATGCGCAGTCAGGACTGAAAACCAGGGATGTCTTAACTTGCTTGTTTTACCAAAGACTCTGGACTCATATTGATACACAATAACTTGCTTGGTTTTCAGAAAGAAATTCAGATTAAGAAATGGTTTCTGCTGTCACTTTTTCAGTATTTTGAAATCGTACGCTTAGAGCTCTGATGTGATGGTTTAAGCCAACTTTGCTTAAGCTACATGCCCGCAGTATGTGAGGGGTGAAGGCTGAGGGTGGATTCAACTCTTACAATGCCAAGGGCATGCCTTCTAAAACTGCTTAAAGAAGCAGCCATCTTCCACCTTGACCAGCTCTGGCCCAAAGGTTATAAACCATAATCCTTCACTTCTTATGTCTACCCCTCTTCAGATTGCCAATTTGGAAAGAATATGCTATAAAATCAGCAAATATATAATCAATGTATCAAACATCACTCTTATGCATAGTTTCTAAAATTTAGGAATTTTTTCTTTAATAAATGAAAAGTCATATAACCCAAACAGCTGTGTATTCTAATAAGGTCCTATGGAGGATGATTATACACCAAGTAAGGTTTTATTCATTGCTTTAATGAAGCAAGTAAGCAACCTAAGGCAAGTAACCTAATAATTATCCCAATGATGAAAAGCTATTGTATTTCAATCCCTTGTAGACATCTTTATTGTCAACTTGATTTGATTTGTTCATGTAATGATAAGTGACCCAATATTTGTCTTTCTACAGATGTTAGGCAGACTCAGAGAATATTAATCAGAAAAGAAAATGGAGAGGCGAACTGTCTGCTCAAGGGCATCACCAAGATATGCTTGATCAGAACCTACTGAGATACAGGCTGAGAGTGGAAAGCATTAGTCCACAACATGACCATGGTTCTATGTCTCTGGTTCTTCAAAAATCTCTCTTCTGGTTTGTGCCCACCTAATTCATTCTGGGCCTACAGGAAACAATGCCAAACTCTCTTTCCCAGCATTTCAGAGCAGCTGTGTGTTTAACAGAATCTGCTCCTTTCCAGTCAAATCAAATCCTGCTTCTTTTACCATTTGTCACCCCTTCCAGAGCTCCCAAAACATGGTAAAAGCCTGACTCTATCACTTACCACTTTGAGAAAATGAAAATGGTAAAAACAGTCACATAGTTGTTTCAAAATAACAATAGGAGAGTCCACATAATGCTTATCTATTTTTCAGTTTCCAAAGCTAACCAGGCTAACACCACCCTTTATAAAAATGAATGTAAAATTTATACATGCATAATTAACAAAGGACTAATGTGATATACTAACATCAAGAGTTCTACAAGAATACAACGGGTGACAAATCCATCTGCATTTGGAAAATGAACCCTAAATTGATCGATAAATACAATTATCCTACTTTAAAGGTTCTATAACTTAAAAAAAAAAAACACATCTTTTTAAGAATTAGATTGCTGACAAGGCATGCTGTGAATGTTTCCTAAGTTGGGAATGGCAGTGCACGCACATAATCTCAGCATGAGGTAGACTGAGGCAGGAGAATCACCAGCAGCTCAAAGCCAGTGAGTTCAAGGCAAACCTGGGCGATTTACCAAGCTCCTGTCTCAAAACAGAAACCACAACATCCAACCCCTAGGCATGGTGAAGCATGCCTCTGGTCCCAGCCCCTACTAGAAAGAGACGGAAGGACCGCTGTACATCCGAAGCCAGAATTCAGCGGGAGTTCCCACCAGCCAAGGTTGCACAACACGCAAGGCTCTCTTTTAAAAATTGAGTAATCATTTAATTAATCAATAAATAAATACCCCAAAATAAGAAAAAAAAAGTATCCTTTAGAGAGGCATCTTTACTTGTTCCTGTATTGCAGGGTGCTTCAAACTCTGACTTGTATTCAACAGCATCAGCGGTCCCCTGGCCCAGAGCCCAGTCAGGGACCATAAAGATTCTTCCTCACCAGAGGGTGGCAATGTTGTCACATGGAGCCATTATGGTGCCGTGAAAGCCTGGTACCTCCTGAAAGGTGCAAAGGCCTTACTTCTTTATGAATAGTTAGGTCCTTCTAGGTTGCCCCAAAATGTAATTTCTCTGCTGTTCCATAGTAACCGGGATAACTGTATGGAAAGAGAGAGGAATCTGAATTAGAAGAATGCCCTATGAAACATCCCTTTAAATGATTTTATTGCCCCGTCATAATAGCCCAAGGATGTCTCAATCACCACTTAGACATCTGTCTTCCCACTGGATTATGTCATTTTAAAGGATGGAGACTCTGCCCCTTAGCGACCAGGCTGTTGCTGTCCATAGGAGATGCAGCGTCCATGGATGACTGAATACTTCAGTTCTCCAGAGGCAATCAGTCCTATGTGAAAGAATAATCTGAGATCTGCAGATCCCTCTGTAAGTGCTCAGAATGAATTCCAATGTCACCGGTCAATCAATGGTGAGTTCAGTCACCCAGGGATCCTCAGAATAGAATAAACTGAAGGCAGTGTCTCAGATCAGCTGGCTTGGACTCTGAAAACTAAAACGACCTTTACACTGGCCTGGCCCTTCCGCAGGTAATCTGACCTCGAAGCAATTTCAACAAAATGGACTCAGGAACAAATGTAAGAGATGGCTTTCCTAAGAACTCCACAGTGACCCGAGGGCACAGCCATCATTGGAACCCTAAAAATGGAACCTGCACCTATGCAAAATTTGGGGAGCTCAGAGCACCCAAAACTTGGCTAAGAGTGAGCGAGCTGTGTACCTGAAGCCCTAGGGTCAGCACTAGGCCCTCGGGATCAAATAAACAATTTCTAATATGACCAGAAACCAATTAGGTTTTTGGCATGTAAAATAAGGAAAGAGGCCTAGAAGTGATGGCACACGCCTTTAATCGCAGCTCTCAGGAGGCAGAGGCAGGTGGATCTTTGTGAGTTCAAGGCCAGCCTGGTCTACAGAGCAAGTTCTAGGACAGCCAGGGCTACACAGAGAAACCCTGTCTCAAGAAAGAAAAGAAAGAAAGAAAAAGAAAGGAAGGAAGGAAGGAAAAATGAAAAAAGAAAGAAAGGAAAAAAGAGAAAAAGATGATACCAAAAATATCTGTCTATCCTTATATTTTTTAGGTAAAAATTAATCATTTAAAATAGTTACCTGTTTCATTTTGTTTTACCTACCAGAGTATTTATAAAGGTCAGAGTTTTCGGTAAGTTCACAATTTATTGGATTCAACAGAAGTTACTGGGGAACTGTTGTACAGTTTCTGAGCACACGATGTTTGAGGCATTCTTACCTCACTGCAGGCTAGAGATAGTTCACAGACAACACCAAACAGTACTGCTTCCGCACACTTTGGTTTCCTTGATCATTACAATTTCTACCTTTATTTTCTTTATACAGTAACTGTTTTGGCATTAGTCACTCCCTGAGTAAACCCAAAGCTCCCTTTGAAAAAACCCCAGAAATCAATTATGGCCTCAGAAGTAACTCTTGGATGGCTTTACCCTTTGCCAACCTTTCCTGTCTGTGTATAAATCAAGAAATGTTTTCTTTATGTTCTCTATAGCATACATTTAATATTAGAAGGTCAGAATTTTAAAAATACAGTTGTTTGGTTTTTTAGAATGTCAACTTTTCCAGGAACTGTTTCCTTACATGTTGTATTATAAAGGTATTTACATAGCTATTAACCTTCCCTTACTTGTATTATTGAAGCATTTGCTTAACTATAATCTTCCCTTACTTGTTGAATGATTGAAGTGTTCGCCTACCTCTGTCTGAGTACTCAAAGGCACCTTGAAGGAAGAAAGATTCCCTTTGACTCTGTAGCAGAGGGTTGAGTCCTTTGTGCAGGCAAGGCATGATGAAGCAGGACAGTTCACATCACCACAGTAAGGAGGCATCCTAAAGAATCCCAAAGGGGCCTGGAACAAGAGACCCCCTCAAGGACCCACCCCCAACATGACTTCCTCTAGCTAGACCCCCCTAATGATCTCAGAACCTCCCAAAATGGTACCACCCACTGATATCAATCCCCTAATACATGAACCTTTCGGGGAGGCACATTCTATCCAAACCATTAACAACGATCATCGTACAAAGCTCTGTCTACCCTTTTAGAAGTAAAATACTAATGAAAAGTAGCAAGCACACATCTCTCCCAACATTTAAGAGGGAAAAAAGCTTGGTTAACTTTGATGAGCATAAGCAATGTAAATTCACTATAGAGAGTCTAGAAAATATAATAGGTTCAGAACTTGTCCAAGACATTCAACGTTTTTATTGTGCTCTTGTGGATCTTTCTGTATTTCATGTATATACACACATAAAATGTTTTAAAACTTACAGCCAACATTTCTTCACATGGTGCTTCCTATTCCTTCAGGCCATGTCTCTCTCATTTCCCCTACTGTTAGTGTCCCTCCCTCTGTGTGAATTCTAGACTCGATCTACGTGCAGCTGTGCGAAAGTCTGTCTGTTTAGGCTTTATACAGAGAGGCAAGAAGCATTCAAAACTTGTTGCCTGGGAAGAACAATAGACACATGATGAATTCATGGAGCTGAATAGGTAGATGACTAAAGATAGATACATACATAGAAAGATACATAGAGAAAAGAAAGGGGTGTGTATCATCTAATTGTATGGAGTTACTGGAAGATGGTAAGTGGGTTTGTGACCTTTGTGGGAAAAACAAAACCACTCCTGCCCCTATTTTAGATTCCAAAGGAATGTCTATCATTTTTTCCTTTGTACTTGTTATTTCTGCAACATCTTTTCTCATTTCTGCAGAAATTCTTCTTACCAACTGCAAGGTTAGGCCTGGGATCTCCACTCACCATGGTTTAGACTGGGCATTTCTACACAGGCTCTAGGGAAGTGCCTTCCTGTTCCTAATCACTAGTTTCATAACTTAGTAGCCTAAGCTGAGCAAACTCTGAGGCTCATTTTAATCAGCCTTGTGGATCTTCCCTTGCCCTGTCTCTGTGCTTCGCTCCGATGTCCTTCCAAGCATACGTCCTAAATGGTCTTCCAGGCAAGACTACCCATCTTCAATAACAAGATGCCTGTTTGCTCTGGACGTGACCTGGAACATCTCTGTCAAGCTCCAATAACCCAGATAACTTTTCCTGTCACTGATTCACTGCTACTTCTAACTGCTTAGAGTCACAGAACAATTTAATTGTAGAAATGTTTGCATAAAAGCTCTTTGAACGCAATGCTATTCACAATAATAACAAAAGAATAAAGTAGTTAGGGATAAACTTAACCCAGAAGGCAAAAAGATTTGCGTACCCCAAACCACAATGAGTTATTGAAGTAAATTAAAGAAGTTGCCAGTAAGTGAAAAGATATCCTGTGCTTCCTGAGTTAGAAAATCATATTAAGATGTCGCTGCTTCCCAAACAAAGATTGTACTGTAGATTCAGTACAATCTCTGTCAAAACTCAATGACATTGTTCCAGAAATGAGAAAGTTCATTCTAAAAATGCATGTGGAATCTCAAATGAACTCCCAGACATTTCAGACAGTTTTACAAAAGAAAAACAAAATTAGAGGGAGGCCTTACTTTCCCTGATTTTAGAAGTTATTCTAAAGCTGCAATAATCAAAAAGTTTGGTATTGGCATGAAGGCAGTAGTCATATGGATCAATGGAATAGACCTAAGAGTTCAGAAATGATCCCATACATCTACGGTTAGCTAATTTTTAAGAAGGATGCTAAGATCACTCAGTAATGGTCTTCAAAATATAATGCTTGAGAAACTAGATAGTCACAGGAAAGAAAGAGCTTAGATTCTCACCTTGTAGAATATCAAAGACCCAACCACAATGCCTAGAACCATAAAACTCTTAGAAAAAAGCCCAAAGAAGGAGAATCTAGCAGTGGATTTGGCAATGCTTTTCTGGATATGATATCAAATGCACAGCCAACGAAAAAGAAACATAGACAAATTGGATTGTGAGGTGCTATTAACAGTGCAAACAGCAAAGCCATGGAGTATGAAAAGATGTTTGTGCATCAAACATCTGATACTGGAGTTACTGTCAATAATAGAGTTCTTCATACATCCCTACAAGCCAACACCACAAAACAACAAGTCTTATTCCAAAGTGAACAAAGGATTCTAAAAAGCATTCCTCTACAATTCCTCCAAAAATAGAGGGACAGTCAACAACACATGAAAAAGATGTGCAACATTGCCCATCATTAGGGAAATGTAATTCAAAACCACAGCTAAAGACCACTTCCTACTCGAAAGGATGGCTGTTATAAAAAGTAATGCATTGTCACACACAATAAATAAGTGCAAAGAGATGTGGGAAATTAGAACCCGTGGGCAGATATGGTGATATAAAATGATAAAGCTGCCTTGAAAAAAAATAGTCTCTTAGCAAGGGGTCTCTATTGCTCTGATTAAAATACCATGACCAAAAGCAACTTGAGGAAATTGTTTATCTCATAACTCTCAGGTCACAACCCATCACTGAGGAAAGTCAGGGCAGGAACCTGGAAGCAAGAACTGGAAGAGAGACCATAGAGGAGCACGGCTTACCACTTGCTACCCATGGCTTGCTCAGTCTGCTTTCTTATATAACGAAGGACCACCTGCACAGGGATGACACCACCCACAGTGGGCTGGGCCCTCCCACATCAATCATCAATCAAGAACATGCCCTATAGATTTGCCTATAAGCCAATCTTATGGAGGCATTTTCTCAGTTGAAAGTCCCTCTTCCCAAATGACTCTAGCTTGGGTCAAGCTGACGTAAGACTAACCAACACAAATGATATGATGGATTGTTAAAAACTGAACATGAGCCAGGTGGTGGTGGTGCACGCCTTTAATCCCAGCTCTCCAGAGGCAGAGGCAGGTGGATCTCTGTGAGTTCGAGGCCAGCCTGCTCTACAGAGTGAGTTCCAGGACTACTCAAAGAAACCCTGACTTGGAAAAAAAAATTGAACATGAAAACAGTATAATCACATGATCCAGCATTTCTATTTTTGAGGGTATACCCAGAAAAGGTGAAAGCAGAAGATCAAGGCAATTTGTGTACCCCTGTTCACTGCAGCATTACTCACAATAGCCAAGATAAAGACAAAGAAAAGCCACGTGTCCATCAAAAGATAAATACAGTATGGTTGGTTCATATATAGGGAAAAATATTACTCAACATTCAAAAGGAAGGAAAATATATTCAAAAGGAAGAAAAATATACTCAGATACATATTCCTCCATGAATGAGCCTCACAAACATTCTGCTAAGTGAAGTAATCTAATCACAAAGAGACAAATACTGTTGATTCCACAGATGAAAAAAACCTAGAGTCAGATTCACAGACACAGAGGGTAAAGTAGTGCTTTCCGGGGCCTAGAAAGGAAAACATGGGGGTTACTGTTTAATGGGTACAGAGTTTTGGAAAGTGAAAAGGGCTTGGGGAGGGTGGTGGTAGTGAGTGTATGGTGCTTTGAATGCCTTAAGGCCACGGAACTGGGCAGTTAAAAGTGTGTAAAAATTGTAAATTGTATATTGTGCGTGCAAACTATCTAGACCATGATCTTGACCTCATGGAATTATCTCCAGAACAAACCCACTTACTTTCCTGAACTTTTCACGAGGCACAAATGAAATCCACTGCATCTCATTTTGACCATCCCCCTCTATTTCCAGTCTCCTCCAGTCATATTTAACCCACAGGCTAGAGATCTCATACGACACTGATCTGGGAAGAACGGAAGGGCCCTGACACCTCCCTCAATATGGTTATAATCAGTTATCAGCTGGAGTTCCTCCTCGTCATTAAACATTAATTCCTGTGGCGCTAATATCCATCTAATACCTCCTGTTCTTTGCTAATGTGCCTCTGCTAAAACTATCCTTGCTTAGAACTCTCTCACAGACTGAAAAGAAAACTAAAGCTTATAATAATACAAAATAATACAAAATGACAAGCCCAAGAACAAACAAATAAGAGGAATGTATTGATTGGCACGTGTAAATGTTCTAGCGATACTGTTGGCCTGAGGTGTGGTGACTCGGGTGTGTAAGTGATGTGGAGAGGCCGCAACTCTTTTCTTCACCCAGCTCTTCTCAGCTGGTTTAATCTTCATTCTTCTTAGACGGGCTTTCTTTCCATCCAGAAGCTGACCGCAAGCTTCCCAATCCATGGGTGGTGAAACGGAGAGAGCAGGGCTCTCAACCATCCCAGCTAGATTATGTTTGCGTTTCACAAACTCTAATCGGGTCACAGCCCTCAACATGTCACGTTGGCCACAATGATGTAAATTCTTAATAACGTCGTTCCGGGTCACATGCTGCACCTGTCGTTCAGGACACAGGCAATGCACTGAAACAGCTGTTTGGCTGAGAGGGGAATATGTTGATGATCATCCGAGAACATTCAGAGTAAAACTAGCATCGGGGTGAGGGGAGGTTGATCAACAGGAAGGGCGGAGTCAGCCACCTTCCGATGAGTCGATGAGTCCCTGCAGGCATTTTACAGATCCAGATATGTCACACATTAAATGTGATATTCACATCCGTCTGACCAGTTACTTTGGGGAATCCTAATTCTAGGAGGCAGTGCAGTTCCACATCGTGATGAAGATGTTGTCTGTCTCTTACCGCACTGAGTCGTGAATGGCAGGTGAACATGTTATCATACAGCATACCATCTATAAAAACCCACAGTTGAATCTGGTGTGATGCCATTCACCCGTAATCTCAGCACAGGGGAGACAGAGGTAGGAGGATCACCCATACATTTGAGACCAGTTGGTCTACGTAATGAGTTCTAGGCCAGCAAGGACTACACAGTGATACCCTGTCTCAAAACAAAGACAACCACCCAGCTCCATGGTTCTGTTGGCACCTTTAGCGGCTCCCTGACTCAGTCGGGCTCCTCCTTCCAAGGTACCACTATTAGCATCTTTGAATGTACAGCTGAAAGTAGGTTCATCTTTTAAGTTGGGGCCCTAGTTCTTATGCCCAGAGACACTGGGAGTCATTGCAACAAAATTCCAGACTTACGTGAGGATTTGTAATGGATTCTAAGCAATAGATGGCTTCTTAATAGCTATCATCAACAAGAGCCCCTTTTAAACATATGTCTCAGACATCTAATGCTGTCTAAATAAGCCAAAATTTTTAAGTGGAGCAAAAATTATAAAATGTTTACTAAATGCCAGGCTGTTCCTAGGCACACAGGATTAATATTAACACAGTGTCACCCTGTACAACTTTCTAAAGGAAGTGATGGTCAATGTCATCACGATCACTTCCATTTTACAGATAAGGAAACTAAGCCAGGCGAGGGTGACTGACCCATATTTGCACGCAGCTGGTTAGCACAAGCGTGGCTTGTCCCAATGGTATCTGGCTCCAGAGTCATCCAACCGACCACACACGAGTGGTATTTGTCCCAGACCCCCTTCACCTGGCCTGCAAATGAGCAGAGGAGCCCGCTTCAAAAGACAAGACACAAAACCAAACCTGGACGAGTTAGGAAGCAGCCGCTCACGTTACAAAACAAGGCTGTCCTAAGCAAGCCGACCTCAGTAACAAGCTTGCCCTGGAACTGGGTGACTGGTTAAAAATCATTAATGGTTTTCTCAGAAATACTGGGACAGAGAAACCAAACCAAAACTTTATTCTCATGCCAGCTAAAGTTCAAAGAACTGGAAAGCCAAACTTGAGCCTCGAGTCCACACTGGAAGAACACACAACTTTACAACTGGTGAGATATTCTTTCTCTGAACATCAGTTACACTTGGAGAACTGTAAGAGAGGGGCTTGGCACAGCTTCCCTCCAGGGGTCTCCCCAGGAGAACTTGCTTCCCAGCCTTCTCTGCATCCTGGACCCACCTGGTGGTCTGTTGTCGCCCTCGGCAGTAAAATCTGTTGAATCAATTCTTCACAAAGGTGCAGGGGTAAACAGGTGGCTACCATATTTAAAGCAGTTTCATACAACCCTAGTTCCTCTAGAAATAGCATCTATGCAAACCCAGGAGGTTGAAAATGAACAGACTTAGCCAGGCGGTCATAACACACGCCTTTAATCCCAACACTTGGGAGGAAGAGGCAGGTGGATCTCTGAGTTCCAGGCCAGCCTGATCTACAGAGTGAGATCCAGGCCAGCCAGGGCTACACAGAGAAATCTTGTCTTGAAAATAAAAGAAAGAAAGAAAGAAAGAAAGAAAGAAAGAAAGAAGGAAGGAAGGAAGGAAGGAAGGAAGGAAGGAAGGAAGGAAGGAA